TAGAGGTCACAAGAATCGACAGAACCAAACGAGTAAAGAATTCTGAACGAACAGGGTGCAGGAGGTTTTCATGAACTCACAGTTGCAACACCTGGTGTTCAGGTGTCAGTCTGTCGCAGGCCAGAGCTCACTGATTCCACAGACACCATCTTGTGATCCTTTAATGGATTGTGTGTAGTTTTGTTCTGCCTCTGTGTATTTCTTTAACCTCTGACCAATGAAGCTCCTTCTTTGGGTCAGAGAGTTTGTTCATGTCCTTGTGTTTTGTTGTTTGTGGGTGTTTTCATGAGCTGCAGTGTGTCTCAGTCACCTCAGTATTTTGACTGAACAGCTTGTAAACTGGTGCTTCAGAGTAACTGACACATGTACATTTTATGTGTCTTCCAGGACCAAGCGTCATCACTGTGGCCGTGGAAGAAGGAAGTGACGCCATCTTACCCTGTTCCCTCAGCACCAAGGAGAACATTGAGAAAATGGTCTTTGACTGGAAGAAAGACGGTGACAAGGAGGTTTTCCTGTACGATGCTGGCCATCATTACAACAAGGGCCGCACGGGTCAAGATGAACAGTTCAATGGACGAGTTTTTCACTTTGAAGATGAACTGAAGTACGGCAACGCCTCCATTAAGATCCACAACACAAAGATGGCTGACAATGGAAGTTACACCTGTGCTTTCCCAAGAAAACAAGTTTCCCACCTTCGACTTGTTGTAGGTGAGTATGTTTATAAAACAGTTTGGAAGACTGATGCTTTTTCCACAAAGGGACTTTAATCTACCAGGAACAGTTCAGAGTATTTGTCCAGAACAGTGACACTAGTGACAGATAACATTAAGATAACATGGAGAACGGCAGTAAACACATCGCTTCAGAGCATGCAGGGAAATCCCACCCACTTCTCCCCAACATGCTCCAGTACTTAAGATATAAGTAAATACATCCAGGTCACTATTGTGCTGCCAACTCTGTGATTGTGACTCTGTGCAGCAGAGATGTGGTGTTGGGCTTTAGCACACTGCTACATAACACCTGTCTGTGGTCACAGGTACAACAGACCACACCTGACCGCACCCAGCTGTGATCATGGGTATTGTAGTCTACTTCTTGACCTGTAGAGGTCAGTGCAGCTCCACATTTCTTAATACAAGCTGTGGAGTTCCACTTTAAATATTAATATATTATATGTGACAACATTTATCCAGAACCAGTATGTCAGCCTCAGTGACGCCAGATAATCTTTTTACCTCACCACGTTTTAGATTAGAAATTATTTTCACCAAACGGGGTAAAATAATCCTTTTTTAAATATTGCAGGTCTGGCATGTTTATTAATATCACACAATCACTCTAACATAATGATGTTGTGTTTTTCCCTTTAGATCCTGACCCAGAGCGCTTTATCTTAACCTCTTATGGCTCATTACAGTCATGTGCATTTCCACCTGTTTATACACTCATCTTCAATGTTCTCCTGTTCAGAGATGATGAAGAACTGATGCATGTCCTCAGCATCACTGCAAAGGAAACACTGTGGTCTCTTATGTTGTGTTAGTCTTATTTCTACCCCAAACATAGATGGATGTGTTAAGGATCACACATAGAATAAAGTAAAAATGTCTTGTTTTTTATATTTGAATTATTTTTTCAAAATTCAGTAAATTGGTTATAATATGGACCATAAGGCTGAAATTCACAGGATCTCTTCATCAACTTGTCTACAATATTCGTACCAAATTTCATGTTGATAGACAGAAGTGTCTCTGAGATATTTCAGAAAGTGCAGTACAGAGCATCTCCATCAGATGACTACAGAGCTTTATAAAACCTCTCCAAAGTCACCAAATAATGAAGATAAATGTCTTTTATGACTCTGAAAAATGTCCCTAAATGTTAAAGTTGACTAAAAGAAGCTGTTGTTAATATTTAGATAAAGATTTACATATTTAGTTTCATTGAATCGTGTCTCTTTTGACTGATAATAAAGTTTCTCTGTTGTGTCGGTGTCCCTCCACCACAGAGAGTCCAACTACATTAACTTCCATATATGGTCAGGCAGGTAATTTTACCGGCTACAAACTCAGAGTGTTTTCACGGTGCTGACTTCCTATTGGATGATTGTAGCTGTCAATCAAAGGTACTTGAAGCGCCTTAAATTATGCGCTCTTCTGATTGGCTGGTAGAGTTTAAAGACAGTTATATTCGTCACTTTAGGTCGTAGAAAGATGTTGATTGATTTGTTTTTTTCCTGGGTGTTTCCTGATTTCAGAGATACTGAACATCATTGGTCAAATA